TATTTGAAATATTAGGAGAGTTGTGTGTATGTAATTCATACGTAAAAGTTTAAATTTACCGAATATTTATTTAGATCCAACGTGTGAAAATAAGCAATTAAAAGCAATAAGTCACATTTTAATTACAGATTGATTTCAGACACATTTTATGCTTATAGATATTCAATTTATTTCAGAAATAAAGTATTCAATTCAGTTTAATTCTCATTAAAGTTTATAATTTGATCTTATAAAAAATAAGGTATGACCAGTTGGAAATTTGCATGTTCCGATCATATTATATGTAATTTTCATGTTATACATACATTCATACTTGATTTATATCATTTGATTATATTGATATACGTGATTATTGATGTATTTAGTTATGATACTTGTAACGAAAATTGCTTTGATCCTACATTGACATAATCAATGAATGAGTTTGTTCTCGGAGATACTTTTGGTTATGATAGTAAAAATCTCGACGCCATAAGGTTATGCACAGTCATAGCGTAACATAAGGTTCAAGTGAGAGACTGTTGGGTTTTAATTTATCGTATGTGCCTACATATGTAATTAATTGTAAATAAAAGCTATATGAAAGTTAAGCTCATTTAAAGTGCTCTAATAAAAAATTAAAGTTATGGGATTTGGACATTTAATTAAAATATGAGTCTAAATATGTGTAGAGACAGATTCATTTGATTGTATTTTATGATGACCCGAAATACTTATATATGTAGTTCTCCAATTTATATGTAGTTCTCATTCTACATGTTATATCATCAACACAAAAATATTAAGAGAACATATTGAAGAGGAATATCAATAAAAATCAAGAACAAAGCAATTAAGATCATGAATCTGTAATCAATAACACTCAATTCAAGATCCAGAATCAAGATCCACAATAAAGAATAATTTTCAATGAATTAAGGTATGTTCTACATTTAATAATTATTTTGGTGATTTGATATGGAGGATTTTGACAATAAAGTAACTAAAATTTCAAGTTTTTGAGATTTAAAATTTTAATAAAATCTAACAGTAGTAAATATAGCATATTTGATCTGGCAACACCACACGTTGCCACATCAGCAGTGGGCATTATATCTTTCGTTTACAGTGGACATGAGATCAGTTCTGATGATCATAGTTATGATGGGCTTCACAATTTTTATGAATGAGTGTAGAATGATATGAAAGTATGAAGAAAACTCACGAGATGGAGAATTAAATTATTTCAATCTTATTTGTAAACAAATAAGTTATTCTAAATGGTTTAAAGCATATAAATTTTAATACATAAAATCTTAATGTATAATTTTATATAAAATTATAACTCGACATTTTAAAATCTTCCAGTTATAATATTAATGAGTTGATACCATCTATGAATTCCCTCTTTCACGTGGCAATCTACCATTATTTGGTAACACAACTAATATATACAATGTAATTTCTAGTCCAGCTATTATTAGGGTGTGTTTGATCCACATTATTTTGGAAGAATGTATTTTGGAATAGTAGATTGATGGAGAATTTGTGGTTGAAAAAGAAGGAAAAGCTAAATATTATTTTATTGAAGAATGTGTGGTTGAAAATGAGTNTTTGATCCACATTATTTTGGAAGAATGTATTTTGGAATAGTAGATTAATAGAGAATATATGGTTGAAAATGAATGAAAAGTTATTGATGTGATGGAAATTATTATTTTATTGAAAGATGTGAGGTTGAAAATGAGTAGAAGAATGAGAATGAAAATTTTAATGTGTACCAAACAGGGTCTTAAAAAGATTTTTACTTGTGAAATTTTTTTCCCTTCAAAATTTAGCAACGACAAATGTCTATGGGCTTTTGTGGTTCTCCTAATCCATTGGGCTGACCCGGTTTATGCTGCTTTTAATTTTAGTATTTGGATAAATTGGACGGTTGGGATTAAATCTTGGCTAGATATTCTTCCTTGGCTCGACTTTTGGCAAAACAGAATGGGTCACATTGGGTTTAAAGGGCAAAAAATCCTTAAGTAATTAGAAATTGCTTGGAAATGACGAAATTGAAACTATGGATTTCTGTGAAATATGTGTTTTGGGTAAGTTCCATAAGGTTAGTTTTGAAGCTAGCTCTCATAGGACCAGCAGTCCATTGGACTATATTCATGCTGATCTATGGAGTCCTGAGAAGCATTCCACATTTGGTGGAAGTAAGTACTTCTTATCCTTAGTGGATGATTACTCAAGAAAAGTTT